CATCCATTCCTCCCAATGACGGTGCATTTCTGCGACGCACCCTCAGATCCAAAAAGCACGCCCCTCACCACAGCCGGGATCGACTTCGCCCTGTCCGCACGCATCGCTTTGTCAGAGGGGCAGGAGCACGTCAGGCTGGCAGCAAAGCACCCGCTGGCACAACACATCACAAACATCATCACAACCAGAAGCACCAGCAGCACTGCAGACCGTGGTGTGACGTGGATCAACTGCCGCATGCTGTAAGTAACAGAAAACATTTAATGGCTTGAGAAGGATAAGAAACACTCACAATATCTCAAGAAAAAAATAATAAAATAAAAATAGAAAATCATACGTTTGCAGTCAAAGCAGACCAATAATCGATAAAGAAAGGGGTAACAGGTGCTCTCAACCACAACAAATAAAACAGTAAAAAAAAGAAGAAAAAGCCGAAGCGTGGGACGACCAGCACACACACTCTCATTGCTCCCGTAGAGCAAAACACACACACAGAGGGAGAGAGAGAGGTCGCCCACTCAATGCAATAAAAACAAAACAGAAACAGTTACGGTGCTCCGCCCATGCAGCCAGGCAGGACGGCAGCGGTGCGTGTGCTGCAAAAGAGAGCACCAACGGGCATGCATGGGTGTGCATGCATATATACAATGGGCACATTATGTGTGTGCCTCGTGGGGCGAGGTGAGGGCGAGAGTCCATGCAAGGGGACACACACACAGAGAGAGAGAAGGAAGAGTGTGTGTGCGGGCGGTGCATGGCTCTCTCACACTCACTCTCACGCGGCCACCACCGCAGCAGCAGCCGCACACGCAACAAAAAGAAGCAAAAGAGGGGAGGTGGTGGTGTGGGAGACCGCGGTGCTGCTGTCACTGTCAGCAGGCGTCGTGTTTATTTGATTAGTGGTGTTTGCACCAGTTTTGGTTTTTTGTTCTTTGCCTGGAGGATTCTCTTGATTTTGTTCCTTTTGTTGTTCTCGTTCCTCTTCTGTTTCATCATCCTTTTCTTCTCCAGTTTTTTGTTTGATTCCTGTCAGAGTTCCTCCTGCATGTGTGCGTTGGACTTCCTGCTGAATATCAGCTGAGTTTACTTTCGGGGCACCTGAGACATGTGCAGCCTCTTCCCTGACTTGATCCCGATGTCCTTCATGATCCTCAACACCTTCCTCCCCGTCTTTTTCTTCTCCTTCATTGGAACCATCATTGCCTTTGTGTTCTCCCGGAGAATGATCCCCTGCAGGATTATGTGGTGTTATTTCTTCAACATTTGTTTGTTGTTCTTTTTCCTGCGTCGGTTGATTTCCTTCTACATTTCTTGTATCCTCTTCTTGGACTGGAATTTTTTGATGTTGCGGCTTTAGTCTACTGCCTTCATTTTGTTGGTTTACTCCCGCTTCACCAGCATCAACTGTTTCTTTTTCTGATGGGTTTTGTCTTTCAACTTCGACGTGGCGTTGATTTTCTGTTTGCAGTTCACTTTCATTTTCTTTTTTCAGTTTTCCATTATTGGCTTGTGGCTGTACTCCTCCTCCTCCTTTTGTTGGTGTTGGTGGAGATGGTCCTTCTTCTTCATCTTCTCCCTCATCATCATCGTCAGAAATTTCTTCTTGTTCGGCCAAAGGCACTTTTATAGGCGTTTCTTCGGTTTTGTCGTTAATATCTGACGCTTTTAGATCTGAGTTTTTCAACGCCTCCGGTACAATTGGTTGTGATCCCTGCAAACTCCCAGCGCCACCCCCAGACGCACCAGGCAGAACTCCACCTGCACTCTCCTCAGCACAACAGCCGGCACCGCACCACAGCACGCAGAGGGCACACACCAGCAGCACACGGCCAGCCATCATCATCATCACTCCTTTCACTTGCGTGCAGCCTTCAGCACAAACTAACAACACGTCAACGCAGAGTGAAGCAAAAACAAAAGAAACAATTCACATAGCCATCCCAGCAGCAGCAGCACGCATTTCATGAGAAACAGTAAACCAATAAACGTCAAAAAATGCACAGCGCGCCGTAAATCAGAAATTAAAGTAAGAATAAATAAAAACTGGGTTAATAGTCCGGCAGTAACACCGGGAAGGATGAAGAAAATAGATTAGGTCGCAATTTTATTTCATGTGCCATGCAACACAATATAGACGATCGTGTTTTTGTGTATAAATCTTCCCCACAAAAATAGCAGAAAATAATATGATAAAAAAAGAAAAGATCTTGCTGCTCCACCAGCCCACACAAAATCCCTTATAATTCATCCGGCATCCGGCGTGTTCCTTCAGTCCTCGTACGAGCAGTCCGTGGCACGCACAGCAGTGAGGCCGACACAGCGACTGGACAGGAAAGAAAACAAGATGGAAAAAACGTCACTCATAACGATGTGTAGAGCAGTCAAACAGCCATTGGGAAAACACAAAGATAATTATTATTCCAATAAAACGCAAGCAGCAAAAGAAAGAAAAAAAAAAAAATTAAAATGAGGTCCTTTACAACATTCGTTAAGCCACAGCGATGAAGTCGCACCTTGTCGCGGTGCTGGGGCTCTGGCTGCATATAGGAACTCCGATGCGGTGCATTGCTGCGAGCACGACGGAGACCAAGACGACTCCATCCCTCGAGAAGGTTCCACGCCATGCCCGGTGCGGGGAGGTGAAGCGGTCTGCCTGCAGACTGTCGGGCAAAACTGCACGACCGTTTCGCTGCGGCCACTCCGTTGATATCACCCGTTGCGGTGACGTTCACAAGAACTCTGGCACCGAGGAGGATGGCTACATCACTAATTGGCAGCTCAACATTGCAGGCCTCTCGTCCGTAAAAAAGATTGCATCTGCTGCGCGACTGGAGCTGCATCCACCTGACATCGTTCGTTTCCAGCAAACAAATAGTCGAAGTGCCACAGCGGCAAAACTATATGGCCATAATAGCTTTCTTCAGGCCGCACTGGGCGCGGTGGTGGCGTTGCTGTTCCGGTGCGCCACTCTCCACCGTGCGAGCGCCTGACGCTCCCTGGCACAAACTGCCTGGAGACCGTTGCTCTCCGTGCAACTCCACAGGGCTGTCCCAGCATCTGCGTGGTGAATCTCTACAGCCCTCGCACAGCAACCGTTCAGAGCTCTTCGTTTATTACTACCACTCGTCGCTCAGGCCCCGCAGCGATTATCGCGGGTGACCTGAATTTACATCATGGACTCCGGGACAGTCATACGCCACCAACGACCGGAGGAGAGGATTTGTCCTCTACTCTAATTGACATGGATTTCGGGCTGGCAAATGACCCGGCGCAGGCAACGCGGATCACAAATCGTAATGTCTTGTCCCCTGACGTGGCTGCGTATCGCGTACTGCGTGTCACCCACTGGCAATCCACTCCCTACATGGATTCGGACCACTGCTGAATATCTTACTCGGTGTGGATGGATGAGGGCGTTCCGCGACTAGCCAACACGCTGCCTCGGCGGGAGAAAGCCACTTTTGCCCTGCGCAAAGCGGACTGGCCTGCTTTTACATCGTTGTGTGAAACACTCCTTGCCACCGCCTCCACATGGTTGGATCCTCGCAGTGGTATCTTACGAGCAGCTGAGCGCCATATCCCGCGCGGCAGCCGCGACAGCCCAAAACAATCTGGACGAACGAAATGGAACAAGCCGAGTCCGCCGCCGAAGCAGCACACAAAGCACACACATCGCCTCGCCAGGAGACAGCCTGCTTCGAGCCGAATTAATCCAAAAAGTGGAGAAACAAAATCAAGCCTTACGCCGTGGCTTCGCTATGCTTCTGGAAGCCCGTGTGGAAAAAATGGGGCCTCATCCAGCCCGAGCTGGCGATATCTCCGCGGCGTGGCGGCGCCGCACCATCATCCCCTGGAATCAGTGGTGCTCCGAACTGATCTTCGGACCACGTCTGCGCTCTGCCTCGGCAACAGGCAAATCTTCTCGTTCATCATTTTGTGCGGGTCTCACGTGCCACATTACATTATACTGCTGCTGCTGCCGCGCTCCCTGGTGACTGGGAAATGGGTCGGCCTCTCACGCCGTATGAACTTGGCGTAGCCATCCGTGACTCTTCGCTCGGCTCAGCCCCTGACCACGACAACATGTCGAATGAGTTCATGCACCATCTCGGGCCCGTTGCGCGCGGCACTCTTAGAACGATGATCCACAACTCCTTCGCAAATGGCAGTCTGCCTGGCTCCTGGAATACGGTGGACACCATTCCCATTCCCCAACCTGGGAAGGATCCATGCCGCCCAGAGAGTTACAGACCTATCACGCTGCTCTCTGTGTTACTAAACGGAAAGAATGATTCACCGCCGTCTATCAGCGTTATTGCCGCACCACCCACGTCAATTTGGCTTTACACCTTCGCGTTCAACATCGGACGTGATGACACTTGTTAACGGTAAAATTAACCGTGGATTGAATGAGTCCAGCACTGTGGAGTATGAGCGCCCTGGAGGCGGCGCCCCACACGGCACCCTCGTCACCATCGCTCGCTCGTAGCATTGATTGATTTTCCGACTGCGTTCGACACCATTGACAATGGGAATTTATTCCGCATGCTTGACAGACTCCCGCGCCTTGGCCCCAAACCAAACGCTGGCTGCATAACTACCTGCGGGGCCGCTATGTTAGGGTATGCACTCGTGAACAGCACTCCCGGAAACAACTCGCCTCAACTGGAGCACCACAAGGCAGCGTCCTGCTACCCCAACTCTTCCTCCACTGTGTGGATGATCGGCTGCACCGCCTGGACAACATCTATTCCGCCTCCGCACTCATGTGCGCTGAAGAACACACACTTGTTGCCTCAGGTGCGGACATCCATGCATGTGCTGCGGCAATGCAACCTGCCCTGTCACCTATAACGACATGGGCTGCCGAGCACAACCTCAAAATCAACGTCGCTAAGAGCGAAGCTGCTCTATTCCACATCTCTTCACAGACACGGTCTGACGAGGAAATGGTCGATCTCCATCTTGTTAGCGGGACAATAAGCATTCAGTCACACTCAGTGCGCTTGCTGGACACCACGGTTGAACGACTCCTTAATTTTCGTACTTACGCTTCCACCGCTGCAAAGCAGACAACGCCACGCCGCTACCAATTGCGACCGGTCGCACAGGCTGGTGCGTCCCAACACAATACGCAATCCTTTTCGATTGGATACGTCCATGGTGTGCCACTGTATTCTGGCGATGCAATTATCCCATGCTTCGCCTACATCTACCTCCATAATACGGAAGTACTGTACCGCAACGGTAGCAAAACACACCTTGGCATTAGTGCACCAACGGAAGATACATCTGTCTATTTGGAAGCCAATCCTCTCCCGCTCCGGAAGATACTCTGGCTCAGTGACACCAATCACACAACACAAACGCCATGCACGTTTCCATG